CATTTTCCTCTTTGCCATTGTGGGGCTCTCTCTGCCCCTCACTTCCCTGGCGGACAGTGGCTGCCCTGGGACCTTGGGCTGAGGTCGTCTCCGTCCAGGCACCAGATGAAGTCGCTGCTGCTGGTTCTGATTCTGGGGGAAGCCCTCCGAGGGGCCTCCGTGGGCTCTCTGCCTTCCGCGTTGGCAGTCAGGGACTGGCGGGCTGAGATCTGGGAGGGGACTCTCAGCCAGGTCTGGTCACCTCCCACGTGACCTGGAGACCTTTCTGACCATGAACTGCAGCAGTGAGCACATTTTAAAATCGTCATGACCCAGAACACAGCCTGTATGTGTGTGTGTGTGTGAGAGACAAACACGTCAGGCAATCCTCCTACCGGGAGGTGCACCCCATTTTCGTTCTCCTCTCTCCTTACCAATCCTGTCATAGCCTAAAAACCATGCCAGTGGTGGTCCACTGACCCGATGTCGGGGTGCAGTCTGCAGTGTGAAGGATTCTGCTTGGTCTAGTTGATCGGGGTTCGGGGTGGGGGGCAGGTTGCACAAATTGGCCCCCTGGGTGAATGTCGGTGAAAGTTCAGGGACGTTTTCAAGAAATGAGCGTCGACAGCCCGGTAACTACTACATCCGGACAGTCCAGGCCCAGGGTCAGTCCCGGAGCACCGTTCTAGACCCTTTTTGTACCCTCCTGTGCGCTGAGCCCTGGTCTTCTCACAGCGCAATGTGGTCAGGCTTCCCGACCTGCCTGTGGGGTCAGGTTTGCGAGGCGCCAGGCAGCAGGGGGCGCGGTGGTCCCATCATGGCCAGTGCAGGGGCCTGTGCTCAGGGCTGTGCATGATGCCACAGGTGAACAATGACTTTGTCTGTGGCAGGAGGCATCGAGGAAGAAAGGCGTGGGCATGCACCTTAGTTCTTGCCCTTGGTGATACAGGGAGTTGAACTCACACACACGAACATCAGGGAACCCGAGCAGGAACTCGGGGACGCGTCCTGGCCCCCCGGGATGATTTCTCGGCCGAGCACAGCAATGCCACAATGTAACTTTGGCGCGCAGAGGCGGCGAGGCTGGGCGAGCCAGCACATACCAGAGATGTCTGGGTGGATGTCAGCCCGTCTGTGCCTGCCTTACCCCGTCAGCACACATTGTTCTCGGTGCCACATTAGACCTGTCAGCAGCCCCGGGGACGCTCTGTCCCTGCCAAGAGCTGCCAGCACCCGGGGTTTATGAGTGTGGCTCTCAGAGGAGGACTTGCATTCTGCTTCTGGCCCTGCCACTCAGGAGCAGGGTGGTGTTTGTCAGGTTTCTTGAACTTATTGTAAGGCTAAGTTAGGTCATTTCTGACATAGGGCTGGGAATGCTCCGTGGTGAAACCATCAGGAGTGTAGACGGTGTACAAGTGCTTAGCACCTGCTGTGCCTGGCAGGGTGACCCTGGATAAGTGAGAGCTGTCACCATTAATACCTAGGACGATGACGGTGATTTGTGCCAGTGGAAACTTTGAGAGCTGAGTGACGGTTTGGGGCAGCCAGTCAGCTTCCTGGTGGCTCAGAGGTGTGGCTCCGGGCTAATGAGTGTTTACCGGAGGCCCTTCAGGGTCGGCAGAGGAGATGCCAGCTGGCACCGGGCCACCTGGGCTGGGCAGGCTCCACGCTGAGGAAGGACTCATGTAGGGCTTGAGACAGAACGGGAACCTTCATGGAAGTCTTCCTGGTCACGTCGGGGGTCCTGGGTCAGAACGCAGCCCAGACGGGGGATGGCCAGGAGAGAGTGTCATGTGCTCTCTTCCTCCGACTGCAGGAAACCGTGCCTTTTGGGGATGCAGTGCTGGCGACCTGGGACACCTGCATCGGGAGCGAGATCTGCGAGGAGCTCTGGACGCCCCACAGGTCAGCCCCGCCCCCCGTGCCGTCAGACCCCGTCCTCGCATGGCCAGCCGGCAGGGTGGGGATTGTAGGCGTCCTGGAGTCGTGGCCTCGGGCCGTGGAGATGCCCGGGGATCTCGCGGGCCGGGAGGGCAGGTGGGGAGCACAGCCGGTCACTTCTCTCCACCCGCCTCTGCCTGCAGCCCACACGTGGACATGGGCCTGGACGGCGTGGAGATCTTCACCAATGCCTCGGGCAGCCACCACGTGCTGCGCAAAGCCCACGCCAGGGTGGATCTGGTGACCATGGCCACCACCAAGGTAGGCGTCGGGCTGGGATGCTAGAGCCTGCGCCCCGGACTGGGCTCTCTGTCTGTCTTACCTTTTCCTGGGTCCCCAGTGCCGAGTGTGGGATGTGGCCCGAGCACTGTGGACATTCACCGCTGGTAGTTAACGGCCAGCGCTCGACAAGCATGCACGACCCCTCTTCTGGGGCTGCACTTGCCCAACCTCATTAACCCTGGAAACCACCCTAAGATGCAGGCGCTGGTGTCATCTCCGCCCTCTAGAGCAGGACACTGGGCACGTGGCAGTCAAGTGGCCGCTGGGCTCACACCCCAGCCGTCCGGCTCCCGGGCTTTCCACTGCGTTTTGGGACAAGGGACACGATGACTGGGCACCAGGACGTGCCGTTTGCCCGTTGGCATCATGGCGGAATGGAGGGATCGCCATGAGTTTGTCACTCTCGTTGGGCGCATGACACGGCGAGGGTCGTGGTGCTCAGTCGTTCATGGGATGGGTGCGCATTCAGCTGAGCTGGGTGTGCATCTCGGCTTCGTCACTGGGGGTTTCGTCCTCTCTGAACTCCATCTCTCCTCCTGTCCGATGGAGACAACAGCGCCTGCCCCGTAGAGTTGTCACGAGGCAAAATCAGACGTTTTAGGTGATGCCTCGTGCCTCGGAAGGCCAAGGAAGTCCTGCTGCATGGCATTCCCCGTCTGCCGGCACTGTCAGTGTAGGGGGCGCTGATTATGACCCCATGGATGGGGGGTGTGAAGTCCACGTGAGCCGGCTCAGCCGAGCCGCCTGTGTTTGGGCGGGTGGAAGGCGGAGGGGACGGACCACAGCTGACAGCGCTGTGCGCGGCTCTGCCTTTTCCAGAACGGTGGGATTTACCTGCTGGCCAATCAGAAGGGCTGTGACGGGGACCGGCTGTACTACGATGGCTGTGCCATGATCGCCATGAACGGCAGCGTGTTTGCTCAGGGGTCCCAGTTCTCTCTGGACGACGTGGTAATGCGTGTCTCCCCAATAACCGGGTTGTCTCGGGGCCCGTGGGGTGGGTGTCCGGCCTATTTTGAGCATTTTCTCTTCGCCTCGTTGATGAGGGAGGAATCCCCACCCTGCGTTTACGGGGATGGCCCACACACGACACGCGGCACCCGACCCTGGGGGGATGAGACCCACAGCAGTTTATCAGTCACACACACACCGCCTTGGGGAGGAGGACACCAGGCCACGGCGGGGTCAGCCTGAGGTTGCAACTGGGAGCGGAGTGAACAAGCAGGGGCTGTGGCAGGAGGAGATGGGGTGACCCCCTGCCACCAGGAGGATGATGGGCTTGTTTGAATAATTCCACGGCTGGCAGGGACCTGAAGCCACCACTCGGGAGTAAGCAGGCACCGTGCCTGGTCCCCGCGATGAGGAGGGTGGTTAGGCCAGGGGACCTTACCCACGGGAGCAGAGGGGGGGGGGAGCATGCCCTGAGGCCCTTTGGACCCTCCTGGTCTTCCCCAGATGTCAAGGTAGCGCACGTTCACTGTAGGCCTTACACCACCCTGCCCCTGAGTGCCGGGAAGCAGGATGGAGACCCCCATACTTCTCCAGTGGGAAGGCCCCATTCTGGGGGTCTCTCTGGTCTCACCAAGCACGTTGATGGCTGGCCATGTGGGGGCCGGGCCACCTCTGTCCAGGAGAGGTGTGAAGTGCATTCCGGAAGAAGGGTCACTGTGTCCTGAGGGCACGCAGGGATGTAGAGGGGGCAGAGGGAGAGGACAGCAAGGGCAGGCTGAGAGTCAAACCTGCAGCCTCGCTGGTAGGCCGAGTCCCCCGGGAAGGGGGTCACAACCTCACTGGGGCCACATGTTCCTTTAGAAGCTGGTGAGAGCTGCACAGGTTCTCTGCAGATCTGTGTTAACCTAGGTGCACAGTGTTTCCTTGTAATGAATTTTATCCTGCTAGACAGTAGTTTCCTTCACAGAAAATAGACAACAGGTGAAAAGTCGTGGTAGAGAATTACGTCGCTCTCACTTTTGTTTCTTTTTAAGCCAAAAAGAAAGAAAATAGCTGTTCTTGCCAAAAATGGGAATAAATTCCAGTTGTGCAAATATAACAAAAAGTAGCTTTTAGTTGTGCCTGGAAGTCGGCATGAGCGCGAATCACTGTTCCGTGGCTCACGTAGTCAGTCCAGGGTCACGGAGCTCCCTCACCTGGAACAGCCCAGCTTGTCTTGGATGCAGCCGCCTCAGCTCTGTTCTTCAGGGCACGAGGGTTGGGAATGCCGGTTCGCAGAGGCAGGTGGTAGCAGAAGAGACGAGTTTGCAGGCCGTGCTGGAGCGGGGCAGCCTGCGTCACAGAACAGTGAACTCGCCCAGGCCCTCTGTCGTCATCTCTGTTGCTTCGTTTCCTCTCATCCACAGCAGTGAGGTCTCGGTTGATACCTTCCGCAGCCACGTTGTCGGCAAGGAAGTAGTTCCGAAACCAAGCATCGGTTTCAACATGGCCGAGTGCAAGGAACCTCGCAAAGAATTCCACCGTGTTTTCTTGCCTGGAGGGAAGGCGAGGGTCTGCAGTCTCGCCTCCAGCAGCAGGGACACTCTGTCTGCCTGTGAAAGTCCTGCTGTTGTCTCCCAGGCTCTGCTTTCCGAGTGACAGTGTCCCCCGAGACCCCCAGTTGTCCAGTATTAACCATCATAGAGACGGAAGGCGCTTGCAGGGAAAGATCAGGTTCATGCAGGTGTATTCCTCTGTTCCGAGAGAGTGCTCAGTTGTCTTTCGGTCCCGGTTGCTCTGGCTGAGGCATTGGCTGGACGTCAGAGCTGCAGGCACCTTGGGGGTAGCGTTGACTGGCAGGTGGGTGGGGGGCCACCTGCACCAGGAAGGGCAGGTGTGCAGGTCCCTGCAGGTTCCCGGCCCCCCAGGCCCCCTGAAACGGACTCCCAGGGATCCACACCCGGTGAATCTCTGTCATATTGAAATCTGAGGACCGTTGCCCGCCTTCCCCAGAGGCGGCTTCCCAGCGAGAATTCCCTGATTTTGTCTGAGTGTCAGGGGTAGAGAGGGCATCACTGTCCCCAGGCAGAGGGCCGTGCCGTTCTGCCCCTTCCTCTGTGATGTGCCCAAAACAACCAGAAGGAATTTTATGGCGCACGAACTCATTTCACTGAGTCGCCCCTTCTGTTCCCCTCTGCTCTGGGGACAGACCCGCCACCCTTTCCTCGGGCACACGCTCCTTCGGGTCTTCTTGATCTCACGGGCTTCCTGGCGCGTCGGGGGCCTCAGTCGGCGTGGGTGTTGAAGCTCACCTGGTTTGGGGAGAAGTGGAACGGGCCATCTTCTCATGACAAGACTCACACCCTCCAGGGGCCTTTCATTTCTCGTGGCTTCTCACTTTGTGGGCTTTGTCACACCAGAAGCTTGGCGGCTTGGGCGGCCCCTCACTCCGGGAAATGACAGGAGAGGCAGAGGACGCATGAGCTCCCTGTTCCCTCTCTCTTCAGACGTTTCCAGCGTGAGTTAGGCCCCGCGTTGACAAAGGCAGCTGTCCACGAGCCCGGCCGTCCTGTGTCCCCCGTGGTGTGCAGAAGCAGTTCTTGCTATCCCATGTATTGCATGTGTGAGACAATATTCTAGTAACATAGTTTGATTAGGAATTTTATTTCATAAAGAAAGGAATGGCATGTATGAGTTAAAATGTTTTTCTTTTCTGTATGTTGCAAGTGTCAGAACCCCCACCTCCGCTGGGGTCAAAGGCAGGGAAGGTCACCTCCTGTAGCATAGGCAGCATGTCCAGCCAGTACCCTGGCATGGATTGCCAGAGCTCTGGCTCCACCTCTCTGCCAGTCTCCAGCTCAGCCTTCCTTTGCACTGGCTACATTCTCAAGTCTCTCCTCCTGGTCACAGGATGGCTGCACCAGCTCCAGCAATCCTATCTCCACACAGCCACATTCAAAGGCAGAAAAGGGGCCCTTGATCCCCAGGTGTCTAAGAAGAGAGCAGCTTTCTCAGAAGCCCCCAGCTGACATTTGTTGACAAGATTGGGTCCTGTGCTGTGATTAACAGATCACTGGCAAGTGTCTTAATTCAACAGAGATTATGGTGGCAGCAACAAGGAGGAAGGGTGTTGAGCTGCAACCACACCAGCTGCCCCTCTCCCTGGGCCCCTAGGAATCCACGGGTCCCCAGTCCCTGCCTTAGAAGGCGGGACTCATCCGTGTGCAATTTGGCACACCTTTTAAAGCGGTCACGTGTGAGTGAAAAAAGAAAATCACACTGTCTCTTTGACACCCCCTTCTGCAGGAAGTCCTCACCGCCACCTTGGATTTGGAGGATGTCAGAAGCTACAGGGCGGAGATTTCGTCTCGAAACCTGGCGGTAAGTGCCCTAGTTGACACCCTGTAGGATGCTCATCAGAGACCTGGAAACTTTTTTTTTTAATAACAGGCTCTATTGAGACATCATTCTCATACCACACAGTTCGCTGATTTAAGCCCATGATTTGGTGGTTTTTAGCACATTCATGGAGTTATGCAGCCCTCACCACAATCCAGGTTAGAACATTTGCATCACCCCAAAAAGAAACGTGTGCCCTTTAGCCGTCATGCCCCATTCCCCTCCCCCAGGCCCTGGCAAGCACTAATCTGCTTTCTGACTCTATGGATTTGCCTGTTCTGGGACATTTCATTTAAATGGAATCATACAGTATGGGGTCCTCTGTGTCTGGCCTCTTTCGCTGAGCATCGTGTTCTCCAGGGTCATCCACGTTGTAGCCTGTGTCAGTCCTTCATTTTTATTGTCAAATAATATTCCACTGAATGGATAGACTGCGTTTTATTTATCCGTTCGTCTGTTGATGGATGTTTAGAATGTTTCCACTTTTTGCCTGTGACGGATAATGCTGCCGTGAACATATGCACAGGTGTTCGTGTGGACATACGTTTCCATTTCTCTTGGGTGCACAGCTGGGAATGGAATTGCTGTGTCATATGGTTATGCTATGTTTTAATCTTTGGAGGAACTGCCAGACTTTTCCACAGCAGCTGCACCGTCTTACATCTTATCCCACCAGTGACGTACATCCGAGGGTTCTGATTTCTCCACATCCCACCAGCACTAGTTACCGTCTGTCCTTCTGATTCTAGCCGTCCTGGTGGGTGTGGGGGATCCCACTGTGGTTTCAATGTGCGTCTCCCGCTGGCTGGCACAGTCCTGCTCCTCCGTGGGTCTCAGGAGCCTGCAAGGGTTCTGGTACTGAGGGATGTCCTCCCGTCCTGAATCTCCATCACAGGCCAGCAGGGTGAGCCCCTACCCCCGAGTGAAGGTGGACTTCGCCCTCTCGTGCCACGAGGACGTGCTATTGCCGCTGTCCGATCCCGTCGAGTGGAAATACCACAGTCCTGCCGAGGAGATCAGGTGGGCAGCCCCTCGTAGGCAGGGAGGGGTCCTGTCGCTCTGTGAGCCACTCCCTCGTCCCCGCTGCCATGTCAGTCTGCAGCGGCCGCGCTGGGTGGCAGCCCGGAGCCAGCGCTGGTGGCCGGTTGTCAGAAGCTGCTGCAGTAGCCGCTGAGCAGCAGGACCCTGCACTTGGTCAGGGTTGAGGGTGTGAGCACTGCAGCCAGACCGCCTGGCATCCCCTCGCAGCTCTGCCCTTCCTTGTGCAGGGACCTCTGGCACAAAGGTGCTGTCTCATCCTTTCTGTGTCTCAGTTTTCCCATTTCAAAACGGGGCCAACGATAGTACCCACCTGCCAGGGCTGCTTTCAGACTTAAGATGCATTAATTCACATGAGGTGCTTAAAACACCTGATCGTGAGCGCCCGGCCGTGGCGGGCGGTTCTCTTGCCGCTGCTTCCCCCTTGCACCTGCCCCAGGTGAGCTGGTCCCTAACCTCACGCTTCCCGTTGTTCCCCAGCCTTGGACCTGCCTGCTGGCTCTGGGATTTTTTAAGACGTAGCCGACAGGTAAGATTCCCCTGGTCTCGCCAGCTCACTCTGCTCGTTCTGCCGGTTGGTTTGCATTTGCTTCTATGGCAGGCGAGTGATTGTTTTTTTAATGCAACCAACAAAAAACACGTGTGAATGGAACGAGAGCTTAGAAGCCAAAGGGCGCACCGAGGCTGGCTCCATCCTTGGAGTCCTGCTGGGACCCCTGTCCGGTGACCTTCACAGTTCCAGACCCACCACCTGCTGCTGGTTTTGTGACCGTGCACGTCTGTAATTCACGTGCCTTAGATACTCTCCGCAGTGAAAGGTCGTCTTTCCCTCTAGAAAATCCATTTTGGAATGTGCAGGCCATTCTTTCCCTCCCCCGGTGAGAGCTTGGACGCCCACGAGCATTTTTGTGGAGCGTCATTAAGGTCTGCGGGTGGACCTGGGTTCATCGTTGGGCACGTTGCTTCTCCGAGGCGCCGCTCACCCCGTGTTTGGTTGGCCCGTTTCAGGCGGGGTTTTTCCTGCCCCTCAGTGGCGGGGTGGATAGCGCAGCCACTGCCTGTCTTGTCTACTCCATGTGCCGCCAGGTCTGCGAGGCTGTGAAGAACGGAAGTAGGTGACAGCCATCGGCCCGAGGGAGGCTCCGGGGGTCAGCCACTGGGCTGCCTGCGGGAGGGGTGGAGGAAAATTCCAGATCATGGGCACCAGGGGTGAAGGGGGCGTTGCGGACCTGCTCGGATGTCATAACGTCATGACCAAGTCCCGGGGCCTGGGGGCAGCAAGGTCATTCAAGTCCCTTCCCAGGACTTGGGGCCAATGTGGCCGTGTCCCTCGAGCCACAGGTGCCTGCTGCTCCCTGTCGGCAGCGTGGCCCAAAGGAAAGAACACGGGCTTTGGGGTCAGGCAAACTCAGGTTCAAATCCTGCCACCGTGTGCTCTGACGGTGAATATTCCTGTAGCGTATACAACCAGAACACGAGGATGATGATGCTTCTCTGACAAGATAGCGGGCGATGGAGAGGGATTAAGTTATCCAGGTACCTCGCGCACAGCCAGCGGCCGATGCCTGTCTGTCCCGGTGGTTTTCAGATCAGGAAGTGCTGGCTGACGTCCGGGCCATCGTGAACCAAACAAGCTACACCCCCCAGGACCCCCGAGAGCTCTGTGGACGCGTCCTAACCACCTGCTACATGGCCAGCGAGAACTCCTCCCGGGAGACATGCGACAGGGCCAAAGAGCTGGCCCAGCAGGTTGGGAGGTAGAGTTGGGCACTGGTGTTGGGCCCGGGCGGGCAGCTGTGACAGGGATCAGAGCCACTGGAAATTCCACCTGGGACGGCATTTGTGGTTAAATGTGCATCCAGGAATCGAGCAGGTTTCTGCTCTCTCTTGGTTTGAGCCAGATTGTAGGGAAACTATCAATTCCACCCCAAAATCCAGCTGTGTCTGAGGTTTCCACCTCTCCTTCCTGCTCCCCTGTGGGATCACACGGAGGCCACTCAGCAGGTCTTGGGAGGGGGCTTGTGGTGTGACCTACCCCACTGCCGTCTTCCACCCAGTCGGTTCTCTGTACCTGAGGAAGCTGGAGAGAGGGGATCTCTCTAGAGAGGGGAGACATAGGTCCGTTCAGAGTGTTCCGTTTATTCTGCCGCTTAGGAAAACACGAGGAGCTGCCCATCTTGTGTGCTGAGGTCAGCTGCCCACCCCCAGCAATTCTGCTCCTAGGTATAGGTCCAAAGGCATTGAAAGCAGGGACTCAAGCAGAGATTTGTACACACCCAGGTTCACAGCAGCATTATTCACAATAGCCAGAAGGTGGAGACAACCCACACGTCCATCAGCAGATGAATGGATCCACAGAATGTGGTCTGTGCATGTAGCAGCCATAAGAGGTGAAGCACTGAGACAGGCTACGACACGGATAAAGCTCGAGAGCACGACGTTCCGTGAAAGAAGCTGGACGCAAAGGGAGCACATATTATATAATTCCAGTTCTATAAAACGTCCAGAATAGGCAAATCCAAACAGAAAGTGGATTAGTGGTTGTTATGGGCTGGGGGAGGAGAGAATGGGGAGTGGCTGCTAATGGGTACAGAATTTCCTTTTGGGGGATGAGAATGTTCTGGAACTAGATAGAGGTGATGGTTGCATAACGCTATGAATGCACTAAATGCCACTGAACTGTGCACTTTAAAATGGTGAATTGTGGGCCGGCCCCGTGGCTTAGTGGTTAAGTGCGCGCGCTCCACTACTGGCAGCCCGGGGTTCGGATCCCGGGCGCACACTGATGCACCGCTTCTCGGGCCATGCTGAGGCCGCGTCCCACATACAGCAACTAGAAGGATGTGCAACTAGAAGGATGTGCAACTATGACATACAACTATACAACTATCTACTGGGGCTTTGGGTGGGGGGAAACAAAAAGGAGGAGGATTGGCAATAGATGTTAGCTCAGAGCTGGTCTTCCTCAGCAAAAAGAGGAGGATTAGCATGGATGTTAGCTCAGGGCTGATCTTCCTCGCACGCAAAAAAATGGTAAATTGTGTGTTATATGTGTTTTATGTAACACACACGCACACACACGCTGCCCCTCCACGCACACCCCTTCTCCTTCCAGCCACCACATCGGTCTCAACATTGATCCAGCCGTGAAGGCCGTCATGGGCATCTTCAGCCTGGTGACGGGGAAGCGCCCTCTGTTTGCCGTCCAGGGAGGAAGCAGCAGGGAAAACCTGGCACTGCAGAACGTACAGGTGTGCCTCCCAACCTGGCCATTGTCACCATGTGGGGGGCTGCAGGGGACCCTGGGGATGGCCAGTGCTGGGGCAGCAGCCTGTGTGCCTCACTAGAGACACTTATCATGCAGCCTGTGGACAAGGCTAGGGGTCTAAGTGAGTGTGTGAGAGAGTGTACAAGTGTGTGTGTGTAAAAGTGTGATAGTGTGTGCACGTGAATGTGTAAGTGTGCGAGAATAAGAGGGTGTCTGAGAGTGTGCATGAGTGCAGGTGAAAGTATGTGTGAGCATGACAGTTTATATGTGTGTGAGTGTGAAAGTTTATGAGAGTAAGATGGGAGTGTGAATGAGTGTTCGTGCACAAGTGTATGCGTGTAAGAGTGCGTGTGTAGGTGTGAGATGAGCGTGTAAAGGAGTGTGCATGCATGTGTATTAGTGAGTGTCTATGAGTTTGTATGCATGGGTGAGAGTGTGTGCATTAGTGTGAGAGTTTGTGAGAGTGAGGCATGAGTGTGCACAAGTGTGCGTGTGTGCGACTGTGTGGGTTTCCGCATCTTCGGGGAGGGCTCAGACACTGCCCCAGCTCCCGGGCTGCAGTAGGGGAGCTGGACGCTGGGCAGCTGGTGCAGGGACAGTGGGGCCCTGGGCCCCAGCGGCTCGGCTCTGCATCTCTGTCTCTTTTCTGCTGGGCGTGGGTGGCCTTCCCTCCTCCAGATGCGCCTGTGGTGCAGGGAACGAAGTGAGGTGGCCAAGATTCCGCCCCGACTGGCTTTGCAGCCCAGTCCAGGCTCTCTGGGCCTCCTGGCTCCCATCCTTCCATCTCTGCCATGGCCGCCACTGAGCACACACGAGTGCCAGGGAGACGGGGCCAACCCGAGAGGGGCACAGGACTCCTAGACTCTCTCTGGACACTAGAAAGCTCCTAAATTTACTGTAACCTTCCTCTTTTCCAGAGCTTGCTTGGGGAGAATCCTCTCTTTTAGCTGTGATGGACGGGAACGTGGTGCTGGTATGCGTGTCCCCCATGCTTGTGCCCCGCACAGGGTAACGTGTCCCCTCCTGTCGTCCAGGCTCGAATTAGGATGGTCGTCGCCTATCTTTTCGCTCAGCTGAGTCTCTGGTCCCGGGGCACTCAAGGTGGCCTGCTGGTGCTCGGATCCGCCAACGTGGATGAGAGGTGAGTCTGGCCCAGCGGGGGGCTCCTGAACACCCCGAATCTCTGTGGGCGAGCACTCCCGGGGGCAGTGATTCCACAGCGTCTCCCTGATTGTTGCAGCCTGTCAGAGACGTGGTGGGGAGTCACGTCATCCCGCCTCTTAGGGCACATTTGGCTCCCATGGCAATGTCGTTTCTCCAGAATTTCACCGTGACCGAGTGTGGAGATGGTCAGGACTGTTTCCCACCGGCTCCCCCGCCCCCAGCCCTGCCCAGCGGCTCCTCGCTCTTAGGTCTTGCTTTATGGGGCCTCTCCACAAATCCTCCTTCCACCCCCGCCCCGCATGTTCAGGCTCGTCTCTATCTCCTGGTGATTCCACTGTATCTGAGGTCATTCATCTCTATCCAGTTTTCATCTCCAAACCAGAGAGTTCATTTTTGATGTGGGCTGTAAATACTTTTTCTCATATTGCTCCCTTGTTAAAAAAATGGCTCCGGGGCCGGCCGGGTGGCACAGCGGTTAAGTGCGCGCACTCCACTTCGATGGCCTGGGGTTCGCAGGTTCGGGTCTCGGACGCGCACCGACGCACCGCTTGTCAAGCCATGCTGTGGTGGCATCCCATATGAAGTAGAGGAAGATGGGTATGGATGTTAGCCCCAGGCCAATCTTCCTCAGCAAAAAGAGGAGGACCGGCATTGGATGTTAGCCCAGGGCTGATCTTCCTCACCAAAAAAAAAAAGTTGCTCCTTGTTAGCTGAGAAATTTCAAAAACTTTATCTGTTCACCCCAGGCCCCACCTCCTGTCCATCCTGTTCACATAGCCTGCAGAGGGCGACCTGGGGGGGGATGGGGGGTGGCAAGGAGTGCTTGGCTTCTGTCATTCTTGGGCATGAAAGAGAGAATCAGCAGGAGCTGCTGATGGACCAGATGTGGAGTGAGGGTGCCCAGGCCGACCCTGAGTTTGAGGCCAGAGCCACTGAAAGGATGGACTTGCCTGTGACCAGATGTGGGGGACGGCAGGAAGAGGTGGGGAGATCAGGAGCTCGGTTTGGGGAATGCTGAGTTTGAGGCACTTTCCAGAAGATGAAGTGGAGATGTGAGGTAGGCAGTTGCTCGAGGGTTCTGGAGTTCAGGGATGAAACACATCAGGGAGCCCTCAGCATAGTGAAATGCCATTCAAAGCCGCGAGACCGGCTGGGGTCACCGTGGGACTGTCCACAGGGAAGGGAGGGGCTCCAAGGGCTGTGCCCTGAGACACCCCCGTCCTAGGAAGCTGGGGGGTAGGTAGGGAGCTTCCAGACAGGAGGAGAAGCAGCCAGCCAGGTGGAGGTGACACCAGGAGCAAGTGGCACGCCCGAGTCGAGCAGAGAGGCTCCTTCCAGGAGGAGGGGGCTCATGGTGGTTATTGATCAGGTGTGGGGAGGACGGGGGGTTGGCCACGGGGTTTTGCAGACTGAAGATTGGGGGTGCACCTTGCATGGACAGTTTTAATGGACGGGACACGGCAGGAACCTGGTGGGAGAAGGCTCTTGAGAGAACAGGAGGGGGAGTGGAGACAACCCTGACGGATTCCCGCACAAGAGTGTGGGGCTAAGAGAGGATTTGAAGATGGGAGGCCTTAGAGCATTCCTTATGCTGGTGAAAGCGGAAATGGAGAGGGAGAATCAATGATGTGTGTGCAAGAGGGCAGCCCGGCCCACTTGTGGAAATTGATGAAAATCCCTGTTATGTGACTCGCAGTCAGCTCGGGTCCCGACACAAACAGCACACACTGGGCGGCTGAAACAACACGTTTATAGCTCACGGTTCTGGAGGCTGGAAGTCCGAGATCCAGGTGCTGGCTGATGGGTTCCTGGTGAGGACTGTCTTCCTGACTTGCAGACGGCTGCCTTCTCACTCTGTCCTTACATGGCAGGGAGTGAGAGAGTTCTGTTCCTCTTCTTATAAGGACACCCGTCCTGTTGGATTAGGACCCACTCTTATCACCTCATTTGACCTTAATGAGCTCCTAAAGACCCCATTTTCAAATACAGTCACACTGGGGGTCGGGTCATCAACATATGAATTTTGGGGGGACACAAACCTTTAGTCCAGAACAATGACTTCTTCAGCAAAGCTGTCCTTCGAGTCCAACCGATCCACCGAATCAGTCTCAATTTCAGGCAGAAAAAGTCTGTCTTAATTTTTAACATATAAATGTACCAGCCCCCTTCCCCGTGGTAACCACCTTCCTTCTAGATTTTCACTCTAAGACAGAGACACGGCAGGAGCCTCACCCTGACTGGGTCTCCTGGTTGGCCCGAGGCGCCACACCTGCAGGGTCTGTCCCACACTGTCTGCGTTGCTCCTGGTGCATCTTTGGGAGTAGTCGAGGGATGGAAGAGGCACCGTGGTAAGATGAAAATGGTCAACGGAATGCCCAGCTCGGCACTGGTTGAGGGAGCCCCCACTCAAGGCACCAGGGTTTTGACTGTCCCTCTGTTTGCCACTCTGGGGGTCTCACGCCCCAGGCATTGCACCCTAGTAGGAGTCAGGAGCGGGGAGAGGTGGGTCTTTCATGTGAGTGGAGGTGGGCCGAGAGCCACGTGCTGGCAGCACAGGTGCATTTTCAGATGCTTGTTGATCAGGTGTAGGAAAACCGGGTGGAGAGAAGCAGCTGTTTTTGATGAACTGTGCTTTTAGCAAGACTAGCGTTGAAGTGTGAGCTTTGGAGTGTTGAGAAATGCACCTGGCAATGGGGGCCGGCCAGGTGGCGTAGTGGTATAAGTTCACACGCTCTGTTTTGGCGGCCTGGGGTTTGCACGTTCAGATCCTGGGCGCACCGCTCATCAAGCCATGCTGCAGTGGCATCCCATATACAAAATAGAGGAAGACGGGTATGGATGTTAGCTCAGGGCCAATCTTCTTCACCAAAAAAAACAAAGAAACCAGAAATGCACCTGGGGAGACAGACAGTGGCCAGACCCTGGAAGGCCTCCTGAGGCAAGGACACCGCTGTGGAGACTCACCCAGCCCAGTGGGTGTGGTCAGGAATTGCCTTGGAGGAGGGTGGGCTTGGGGTGGGGGTGGGGACCTGCGGTAATCCAGTGGTCCAGTGAGAGAACATGGCGGCCTGCATGGTGGTTGGTGGGGTGGAGGGGATGGAGCCACTGAAGAGGTGGACGAGTGTCCTGTGGCTGCTGTGACCACAGAGTCAGTGGCTTCAACAACATGAGGTATTCTCTTACAGTTCCGTGGGATAGAAGTTTAACATGGGTCTCAGGAGGCTGAAATCAAGGTATCACAGGGCTGCTTCCTCCTGGGGGCTCCATTCCTGGCCTTTTCCAGCCTCTGGAGGTCGTCCACGTTCCTTGGCTCGTGGCCCCTTCCTCAGTGCAAAGCCAGCAGCGTAGCACCTCTGTGCCTTTCCTCTGTAGTCACAGCTCCCTCTGCTTCCCTGTTCTCCTTCCCCTTGTGACTGCATTTAGGGCCCATCCTATAATCCAGGATAATCACCCCATCTCGAGGTCCTCAACTTAATCACATCTACAAAGGCCGTTTTGCTCTGTAAGGTCACGTCTTCACAGGTTCCAGGCATAGGTGTGGGCATCTTTGGGGGCCACTCTTCTGCCCACCCAGGAGGCATCTAGGAGTTGGGAGCTGATAGGCCTGGAGAGGTGACTGTGCTGCTGTCAGCTCAGCATCCTTGTGCGCTGAGGTCCTGACCTTCCTCCTGGGACATGCTGCTCCTAGCTGATCATTCCCAGATCTCTTCCCCGGCCCCAACGTCTTCCCTGGGATGCCGAATACCTCTCCTCAGTCACCTGCAGCCTTTGCGCCTTCTCAGTCTGCCCTAGCCAGACTTTTCCACGACCCTTCAGTTTGCCAAGCTTCTGGCTCCTGGGCCCCTGGAGGACGCGAGTCCTCGGATGACCGGGGACTGGACTGCCAGGCCCCCCAGTTGGTGGAGTCTGCAGCCCCTCAGGTCTGCCGCATGGAAACCGCGTGTTCTCTCTTGTGCTACAGTCTCCTTGGCTACCTGACCAAGTACGACTGTTCCAGCGCGGACATCAACCCCATAGGCGGGATCAGCAAGTCGGACCTGAGAACCTTCGTCCAGTTCTGTGTCGAGCGCTTCCAGCTTTCCGCCCTGCAGAGGTTAGTGTGTGCCCACGAGACTGTGGCTGCGGCCCCTGAGCCACCAGGTGCACGTCCCAGCACAGCCCCGGGCCACCCTCTCCCCACCCAGCCACCTTCCGAGCTCCCTATCACCTGATGGAAACAGTCCTGCCCTTCAGTGGGCGCTTGGGGTCCCATGATCAGGCCGCCCCCTTCCTTCCTGTCGGTGCTCACCCAGCCCCCCAGGGGGCACTGGGCAACGTCTGGAGACTTTTTTTGGTATCACTGTGGGGTGTGCTCCTGGCATCTAGTGGTTAGAGGCTGCTAAACATCCTACAGTGCCCAAGACAGCCCCACAACAGGGCATGACTGGGCCCCGAATGTCGGTGGTGCTGTGGTGGAACAGCCCCGTGCTGTAGTTCCCCACCGTCAGCCTTCCGTCCTCCAGGTTATGAAGCCACGCTGGCGTCCACGCTCCTCTTCCCAGGGACCCTCCTTTGGAAAGCCCAGCACCGCCAACCCCAGCTCTTGCCAACACGAATGGGTGGATGGTGGCATGGCTGGAGACTGGCCAGCGTGCCGGGGGTGGTTGGTTTGGGGATTTCCTCCCAAAACTCATGAGCGCTTTGGCAGCCGTCGTGACTGCCCTCTGTGTGTCTTGGCTGCAGCATCCTGGCAGCGCCGGCCACTGCAGAGCTGGAGCCCTTGGCCAACGGACAAGTGTCCCAGACTGACGAGGTAATGGTGGTGGCCTTGTCACCATACTTCTTCTCTGTCTCCCTGCTCCCGGCGTGTCTGTGGGGGGTTCCTTCATGGCCTCCTTTCTGTCCCGAGGAACCATGCTCCGTCTCCGGGTTCCTGGCCTGGGAGCCTCAGCTCAGTCCATTACTGGCTCTTTGACATTTTAATTCAGCCTTCTTGAGGTTGGGTCCTGGGAGGAGGGGGATGAGGTGAGTGGGGAGGGAGAGTGTGGACGAGGGGAGTGTCTCCATGTGCTATAGGGCGACCTCAGAGAAGAATCGCTCTTGACTCCTGCATCCTGTGCTGGCCTTTTAACACTCGGGGCTGGTTGGCGTCATAGGCTGTTTGCAGCATTAGTGGACACCGTGGAAGTGGCTGTGGACTGTCGTAAGATCCGTGACAACTGGCTTTCCTGCCACCAGCTCCTTTGGTCACAAAGATTTACCTCTGTATTTTGTTCTGAGAGTTTTCTAGTCTTAGCCCTTACATTGAGGTCTTTGATCTGGTTGAGTTACTGTGTGTGAATGGTGTGAGGAAGGGATCCAGCTTCAGCCTTTGGCAGCTGGACATCCAAGTGTCCCAGCGCCATTTGTTGAGAAGACTCTTCTTTCTCCTGTTGAATTGTCCTGGCGCCTTTGTTGAAAACCAGTTGACTGTAAATGTGAGGGTTTATTTCTGGATTCTATTCCATTGGTCTGTATGTCTGTCCGTATGCATGTACCACACTGTCTTGATTGCTGTAGCTTTGTGGTAAGTTTTGAAGTTGGAAAGTGTGAGTCCTACTTTGTTCTTCTTTTTCAAGGATAATTTTGTCTCCTCTGCGTTGCTTGAATTTCCATATGAATTTTGAGATTAGCTTGTCATTTTCTGCCCCCCAAAAAAAAGACTGCTTGGATTTTCATAGTGATTGCATTGAATCTGTAGATCAGTTTGGTGGGTAATGCCATCTTAAAAGTATTAAGTCTTCTGATGCGTGAACATGGGTGTCTTCCCATTTATTTAGGTCGTCTTTAATGTCTTTCAACAATGTTTGTAGTTTTCAGAGTATAAGTATGCACTTCTTGGGTTAAATTTACTTCTAAGTATTTTATTCTTTTTGGTGCTATTGTCAATGAAATTGTTGTCCTGATTTCATTTTTGGATGGTTCATTGCCAGTGTGCAGAAACGCAGTTGATATTCTCTATAGTTTTTCACTCTCGATTTCATTCGTTTCCCTTCAAGTTTTTTTTTTTTTTTTTTTTTGTGAGGAATATCAGCCCTGAGCTAACATCCATGTCAGTCCTCCTCTTTTTGCTGAGGAAGACCGGCCCTGAGCTAACATCTATTGCCAATCTTTCTCCTTTTTTTCCCTTTTTCTCCCCAAAGCCCCAGTAGATATTTGTATGTCAGTTGCACATCCTTCTAGTTGCTGTATGTGTGACGCGGCCTCAGCATGGCCGGAGAAGCGGTGCGTCGGTGCGCGCCCGGGATCCGAACCCAGGCCGCCAGTAGTGGAGCGCACGCACTCAACCTCTAAGCCGCGGGGCCAGCCTCTCCCTTCCAGTCTTATTATTTCCTTCCGTCTACATGTGTGAGGTTAGTTTGCTTTTTCCCCCATGTTGTAAGGTAGGTTAAGTTTTTGCTTTAACATCTGTTTCTTTCTTTTTTATTCTAGGGAGGTAGATTGGCCCTAAGCTAACATTTGTTGCTAATCTTCCTCTTTTTGCTGAGGAAGATTAGCCCTGAGCTAACATCTGTGCCAGTCTTCCTGTATTTTGTATGTGGGATGCCTCCACAGCATGGCTTGATGAGTGGTGTGTAGGTCTGCGCCCGGGATCTGAACCCGAGAACCCTGGGCTGCTGAAGTGGAGCACGTCACCAGGCTGGCCCCTCTTGTTCTTTTTCAGTATAGGTGTTTACAAATATAAATTTCTCTCCTTGCCCTGCTTTCACTGCAGCCCATGAGTTTTGATATGCTGTGTCTTCCTTTTCATTCATCTCAAAGTGTTTTCCGAGTTTCTTGTGATTTCTTCTTTGACCCAACGGTTATTTAGGAGTGTGCTGTTTAGTTTCCACGTAATTGTGAGTTTCTGAAATTTCTTTCTGGTACTGAATTTGTAATTCTATTACGTTATAGTCGGAGAGGACACTCTGTGTGATTTCAGGGTTTAACATTTGTTGAGGCTGTGTTGTGGTCTAGCGTGTGGTCTGTCCTGGAGAATGTTCCACGTGTACTGGAGAAGCACGTGTACTCTGCAGGCGTTGGCTGGAGAGGTCTGAGGGTATCAGTGGATCTACCTGGTTTATGGTATTTGAGTCTTCCAGCTGCCCGTTGGTTTTTTGTCTAGTTCTATCTATTATCGAAAGTGGAGAATTGAAGTCTCCAACTATTGTTGTCGAATGTAAGGAATTAAAATGTCACACTAGAAGATACTCACTTCATAAAAAAGAAGGAGATACAGGAGGTCAGGTGCCAGGACTAGTCAGGTGCTGGGGGCTCGGGGGCGAACAGTTTAGACACGGTCACTTTCCCTAAAATGCTCATAGTCTGCTGGAGGGGACGGACAAGAAGGAAGTCACCATGGTGGCCCTAGGTGGCTATGAGTGCTGCCCACAAAATCAACCTAGGTGACCCAATGGTGGCAGTGTCCCTTAGATAGGGGTCAGGACAGGCCTCCCCAAGGAGGTGATGTTGGAGCTGAGGCCAGAGGGAAGGCCAGGGTGGGCGATGGGGAGCAGGAGGCAGGACCCAGTCGCTGGGGCTCCTGCAGACCCTGGTCGAAGGTGAGGGCTGCCCTGCTCTGTCACAAATGCCAGCGTCACCGTCTGCCTCTTAGATAGGGCTCTGGCTGTGTATTCTGGGGCGTGGCAAGAATCGAGAGGGAACTGGAGCAAATATTGAGAAATGGAGAAGGGGTCCAGCTCGTGTAAGCCTCAGTGTGAGGCTGACTTTTGAGCCGGCTGTGGGGCATCCCGCAGCCTCTGACGTGGCCCAGGTTTCCGTGAGCCCGTTCATCTTCTCTGAGTCCTCCACTCTTGCGGAAAGTGGGCTCACAGGGGCAGGGCACAGGGCCAGGCTGCTCGGTCACTGTGCCTGACATGGAATGGTCCCTGTACTGGTTTCCTGGGGCTGCTGTAACAAATGACCACAGGCCGGGCTGCTTAAACATCCGAACTGCATTCTCCCCCAGTTCAGGAGACCAGAGTCTGGAATCAAGGTCTGCAGGGCCATGCTGCCTCTGAAGGTTCTAGGGGAGGGTCCTTCCTGCCTCTTCCAGCTTCTGGGGGCTCTAGGCTTTCCTGGGCTTGTGTCCTCATCACTCCAGTCTGCCTCTGTCTTCACGTGGCCTTCTCTCTGTGTCTTCCCTTCTGTCTCTTATAAGGGCACCTGTCACTGGATTTAGGGCCCACCCCAAATCCAGGGTCATCTCATCTCGAGATCCTTAACTTAATCACATCTGCAAAGATCCTTTTTCGAAATAACTTCACAATTTCTGTGTTCTGGGGCTTAGGACATGGACATATCTTTTGTGGAGGCCACAGTTTAATCCATCCAAGTTCTCAAAACCAAGTGTATAGTTCTTTGTCATTTTTTCCGAATGCCACCTTCATATTGACCAATCAGTGTTGGGGAAAGAGACCTCAGCTCTGCTCCTGGCCCTTTGCGGCCGTCTCCCCTCCCCTGGGTCTCCGGTTCCCGTCCCCAAAAGAAGTTGTAAGCTCTCTTCCAGCGCTGACTCGCTGTCCCTCCACGAAGTGTCTGTCTTTCCTGCACAGGAGGACATGGGGATGACGTACGCGGAGCTCTCGGTCTACGGGAGACTCAGGAAGATGGCCAAGACCGGGCCCTACAGCATGTTCTGCAGACTCCTCAACATGTGGGGAGACACCTGGACCCCACGACAGGTAAGACGCATCACGGCCCACAGCGGGAGCTGGCAGGTGGCGTCACCTTGCCGTGGTGGATGTGACTCACACGAGCGAGTAAATAGCATGTGACCCTAAAGTGGTAATGCTCTGTCTCGCGGTGCTGCTGCCCAGCTCTCAGTTCCCACCAGCTCAGGCCCTGGCTAAGTTCCTCTGATCCAGGCTTGACCACACCAGACCACGCAAGCTGCTCCCCTTTTTAGGGGGACAGAGGGTAAATTTTGAGGTCCGAATATCGCTGCTTTTCTGCTAATGGTCAGGCTGAAGCCCACAAACGTGGTGGTCCCCACAGAACCGCCTGGAAGCCTCATGAAATGTATCTTCCTGGGACCCCTGCTCAGGTCTCCTGAGGCAGTATCCTGGGGCGTTAGAGTGCGGAACCCACATTTTTATAGCTCAGCCGGCCGCCCCAGCCCGAGCACGGCCTCTGTCCGCTCCTGCCTTCAGGGAAGTTCCAGTGCGGAGGGAGAACCCGCTAGCTTGCATAGCCCGGGGTGGTACGAGTCAGAACTCCGGCCTCGGATCTTCCGGCCTTGCCAACTCGAAGCCCTGTCTGCGTGTGACTCGCCTCCCAGGTGGCCGACAAAGTGAAGCGATTCTTCTCCAAGTATTCCTTGAACAGGCACAAGATGACCACGCTCACCCCCGCGTATCACGCAGAGAACTACAGCCCGGACGACAACAGGTTTGATCTGCGGCCGTTTCTGTACAACACCGGCTGGCCTTGGCAGTTTCGGTGCATAGACAATCAGGTAAATCAGGCAAAAATGAGTTTTCTCTATGTTAAATATCTGTCGTGGAAACTTCTGTTCATTCTGTCAAAGACTGAAAAGCTTTTTTATATACACAGTGTTATCTTTTCCCATCCTTATTTCTGCAAAGGGACCAGTGTGTTTAAGTCCATCAGGGTTTGGCGTGTGCTGTTTTGGCTGGGCTGTATTTAGTGGTGCTGCGCATATGAAAATCACTAGCCATCCATCACTTTATAAATGTGGTGCCCGTTTCTGTCATTTCTAGACAACCTGGGTGGCCAGATGGCTTCAGATCTTGTAAACCACCCTGTTTTTCTCTTCTTTTTCTAATTAATTAATAGAATGAAGTAAGGATTAATAAAATCAATTTAAAAAGCAAGTACAGGTCCTTCCCTCCTTCTATTTTCCAAGCAGAGCGCTGGGACCACGATAGAGAGCAAGTTAGACGGGGCCCTCCTGGAGCAGGCGAGAATCTGATGGTGGGGGAAGGACGACCACTTAGTGTGCCCAGGGAAACACTGAGAAGGATACGTTGTGAGAAGTGAGACGCTGAGCTAGAGAGTCCTGGGAGCCGGAAGGGCCCACTTTAGATCTGGTGGTCGCAGGAGGCGTCTCTGAGGAGGTGATGTTTAAACTCAGGATGGAACCCAAGGAATGCTGAGCATCCGTGGCCGTGGTTCTCATCCAGGGATGGTTCGCCCCCTAGGGACATTAGGCAACGTCTAGAGACATTTTCTTGGTTGTCACGACTGGGGTGGGGTCTGTGCTACTGGCGTCCAGTGGGTAGAGGCCAGGCGTGCTGCTAAACATCCTGCCGTGCCTCTTGTGGAGGCCACAGTTGAGTCCATCCCAGTTCTCAAAACCAAGTGTGTGGTTCTTCATCATGTTTTCCAAATGCCACCTTCATGTTGACCAGTCAGTGCTGGAGAAGGAGACCAAAAGGGTGAGACAGCCCACCCTCCCAACAAAGAGTTAATGAGAGGTGGGGGCTTGGCTCCCACCAGGAGGCACCGAGTGAGGGATTCCCCCACATCAGGAGCGGGGTTCAGAGGTTGTGCAGCCAAAAGACGGACAAGTGTAGGAACCTTGGAAGAGACACGTAGGCAGGGGCGGAAGTCCCCTGCAGTCTCAGGGTCCAGCAGCGACCACCGTGAATGTGCTGAGGCACGTCCTTCCAGACTGTTCCATGCACTTGCTCTGTATTCTGCCCACATCTTAGTGCATTGTGGGTGTTGTCTGATAATCTGCTGTCTTAGGTCCATGACCACGACCCTCTTTGGGTATGAATCCGTGTATTTCGACAGTGCGATTGTTGAAATCTGCATGTGGACACCGTGTTTTCACGAAACTTCTCTTTCTAGGTTCTCCAGCTGGAGAGGACGGAGCCGCAGGACCTGGACGGCGTGGACTGACAGCAGGTCCTGCGTGGCCTCCTCCCCTGTGAGGATCCACGTGTTACGTGGCACTGCTGGTGACCATGAGCACGAGCCATTTCCTACCCAGACAGCGCGTCAACAAGTCTTATTCTACATTTCAAGGGAGAGCAATCTCTTCAGTCTAGTTCCTTTAAAAAAGTCTGAAATAAAGGGTGTGATTTTTAACTCTCCTCTTGACGCGAGCGCTCGCTTTCCCTGGCCTCCCTCCATCGTGCAGCTGCTCCCAGATCTCACCAGAGCCCCCACGACACCACGGCCAAGGGAGAATTCTTCAGGAAGGGTTGGAGGAGGACCTGGGGGGGAGGGTTCTAGAATGACTCTCCCTTGCCCATGCACTCGCCTTTGCAATCTTCCTCTGTGCTCGCTTACAATTCTTCTCGCTGTCCGTCTTTCTCTAAACCAGCCCGTTTCTCTGATTTCCATTTCATGGTTATCGTCATTGTCATTCTGAGAACCTGAACCCACAGGAATATAGATTTGCCTCCGTCCCATGCCACTAGGAAAGGCTTCCAAACACACAGTGCTCCTACATCAGTCCGTGACCCTGCTGATGTCCTGCCTTAAGGAGAGATCCCCCCGGGTGGCAGGCTGCCTGGCCTCCTTGCCAGCCTCTTTGGTCCATCTCAGTCTCATCATCGTTGGGTGGGTACCAGTGTTAAGTGAGAGGTGCCAGAAAAGTAGGGGAGCACGTAGCAAGGTGTTGTCTGTGTTGTGTAGCTGTCATCTCTGTAACATTTATGTCGTTGCCTTGAGGAGTCTGTCCTCCATGTCACATGGTGGCGTGACCCCGCTGCCTGGCGGGGTCTGCAGGCATAGTGTTAGCTGGGGCATGTCCTGGGCTGGGCTGGCCTGCGTCTTGGCAGGACTGGGGGACACAGGCAGATGTTGGGGAGAAACACGCAGAGGGTTGAGATCTGATGGTGGTCGGTTAATTAGAACTAGCACGGCTTGAGGATGGGCATTGCCCGCGTCTGCTGTTCCGTGGCCAGCCGGTGTGCTCCAGGAGGAGAGCTGGGCTCTGGTTGCAGCCCTTGCTGAAGGCTCAGCCTTGGGTCCAGCGACACAGCTTGGCCCTGATTCTGCTGGCTGGACCCCCAGGAATTCCCAGAAATGTTTGCAAACTGCATCCGCCTGGACTTTTTTTGTGTGCAGGTTACCAAAAGCCTTACCCAAGGAAGGAAACTTGTAAGCAAGAAAAGGAATTTATTGGTTGGCATGCTGAGCAGTCCAGGGGTAATGACAACTTCAGGTCTGGCTGGATCCAGGGTATGTGCCATGTCATTAGTGTTACCAGACACAAACACAGGTTCTTTTACCTGCCACACAAGAGAGAGACCAAAAAGAACTGGAAGGCCAGGCTTATGGCAAGGAAAGGGTTATTATTATATGACGTCAGCTAAGAGACAAGAGTCAGCCCTCAAATTCATCTCCTTGAAAGATGGGAGGCAGGGGGTTTTAAAGGTTGCCAGGAATGCAGCTGCTTGTAGGGAGGGGGAGCCTGTGGCCTTGCCGGTTGGTGCTTTCCCACTCGCCTGCGTTTGGCCTTCTGAGGCTGCTTGCAGGGAGGAGGAGGGCCAGATGAGGCAATCCGCAGGTGGGTGTCCTTGGTTGTCTGCCTCTGTAATGGGTGGTGGATTCTGGTGCTGGGAAGCCTAGGAGTTGGCGTGTGGGAAGCTTCAGCTCTTGATATTCTCTGGACACCAGTTTCCATGTTATAAAACTTCAGAGGACCTGTAACTAGCCAAAATGTTAGCATGAGGCCGCCTGGGCTCCAACAATTTGTAATGTTATTTGCCTTGTAAAGTTCAGAGATACAAAGCTTTAGAAAAACCAACATTTACATATGAATGTAGCTTAGAGAAGCAGGGAAAGGGGCCGGGCCGGGTGCTTTTGGTTTTAACCCCATATATGCTGGGTTTAACCTAGGAGAACTGGTGTTGGGGCCAGCATCAATAGGACTTGGTTTCTCTTCTTCCTGACCCTGCTCAGCTCATCTCTCTGCCGGCTTCCTTTGTGCTCTCTGCATCAGGGCGCTGTGGCTCCAGCCTCGTGAACTCCTAGGTTCGAATCCAGCAGGAAATGAGTCCATTTATCTTCCCCGTTTCTGCAGCAAAAGCCCTGGGTTTACTCCCCTGAGTCGTAGGCCCATCCTGGAACCAATTAGCTACAGCCCACGGGTTCCCCAAAGAGGATCAGGGGTGTTGCGAGAAGTAGGGAGAAGGGATGGCGCGTCTGCAAACAGGAAGGCCCGCTGTACATGCCCTCAGACAGGCTCTGGTCCCGGCCCTGCTCTGGACGATGGCGCCCTCCTCACCTCTAGCTCTCTGAGCCCGCCTTTCCCAGCGGTGCCACTGTGGGCTCTGGGCCCACGAACTGTGCCCAGACCTTTCGCTCAGCCTCCCGCAGTGACAGCAAGACCCGGGCAAATGTGAATGAGGCTCCACTGGAGGCTTGGGCTGACGGGAGGGGAATGACACATTTTCCTCCTTCCCCCAAGGCTGCCACCATAAGACAGGTGTCCATTTGCGTGTTGTCCATTCCTGGAATCCCGGACCCCTGCTGCAGGCCCAGGAGTGAAATAACCACTTTCCCCCACCCCGCTGAAGGCCCACTCTTGTGTGAGGTAAAGTCAGCCACATAATGACAACGTGTGTACAAGGATGCAAAGCCATTTACTGCTCATTATCTCCAACCTCCATTCCAGAAGAGTCCTGGCCTTGGAGAACCAAAAGCTCATTGCTATGTCTGAATATTTGTGCCCCCCCGCCACAAGTTCACATGTGGAAACCCTAACCCACCGTGCCATGGTGTTAGGAGGTGGGACTTTTGGAAGGTGATTAGTTCATGAAGGTGTAGTCCCTGTGAATGGGGTGGTGCCCTCATAAAAGAGGCCCTGGAGAGCTCCCTCGCCCCCTCCGTGTGAGGGCACGGCGAGGTCTGCAGCCTGGAAGAGGGCCCTCGCCTGCCCACGCTGGCGCCTGGTCTCAGTCTTCCCGGCTCGAGAGCTGTGCATGTAAGTTTCTGTTGCTTATAAGCCACCCCGTCTGTGCTATTTTGTTACAGCAGCCTTGAACTAAGACACTCGTTAAGGTGTTTTTTCTAAAACAAAGGAGAAGTTCACTCTTTGAGGAGAATTCAATCCTCCACCTCGGGAGAGTCCAGAAATGGAATAATACACCAGCGGTCAAAGCTACTCTTTGAGCTGACGTGGCCAGGCACGCCCGCCGATGGGTGTGTTCCTCATTCGAGGATGGTTCTCAGCCTGGCTGGCGGGCGGAGGGGTGCATATCCTGCAGGCAGCTCTCTCCAACCCTGCTGATCTCTTCCAAGCTTTGGGCTGATGAGGGTGATAACACGGTGTTCCAGGAGATGTGACCGTGGGGTTCACCAGCTGAGGAGGTGGGAAGCTCACATTACATCGTCACCTTCTGAGATGACTTCACCCAGGGTGATGGCCAGGCCCCCTCAGTACAGGCCTTATCACCCCACGGTGTCCCCAGGGCAGGACGGGCAGCTTGCGGACTCCCTGGAGAGGAGGCGGGCACCTGGTGTGACAACTTCTGTCTGCAGGCCCCCACCCACCCAAAACCCCACCCACTTTTTGGAGGCGTGGGCTGGGTGCTCCTGAGTCTGAGGGAGCACTCAGCAGGAGCACTCCAGGCCTGAGAGTGAGGCCTGCTTGCTCCCACACCCGCGTGTGTTGGTAACGGGGTGAGGAGCCTCTGTCCCAGGGAAGGGAGATAGTGTGAGCGTGGGACCCTGAGGACGGCCTCGTTGGATGGAGTCAGGATCGCCGTCCTGAAACACCCACCTGCAGGAGCTGCCTGAGCTCAGGGGCCCCGGGACCCTGGCCCCCTGCCAGCCAGTTATAGGGTGGTGACCTCAGTTACAGGGCAATGTCTCTCCTGTTCTAGACAGTGTCCCCCAGCTATAGGATAGTGCTCCTCCAGTCATAGGGTAGTGTCCTCCCAGTTATGGGGTAGTGTCTCCCAGTTACAGAATGGTGATCCTATAGTTATAGGGTAGTGTTCCCCCCAGCTATAGAGTAGTGTCCTTCCAGTTACAGGATGGTCACCAGAGCTCAGCCAATGAGAAGCTGTCAGTTCCTGTCTGCAGCCAGAAGCACGTGGCTGAGGGATCCTGGCTTTCTCCTGAGACCCAGATACAGACAGCACCCAGCCTGCTTCCTGGAGAGGGCATGTCAAATGCAGAGCTGAGTCAGAATCTCTGGCCACTCCTGAGAGCTAAGATCCACTAGATCTGTTCTCCTCACCCTGGAAGGTCCCACAAGCTTTGGCTAAAACACTTCACTCAGTGATGAGGGAACATGGGGACCACACGAGGACGGAAGTCTCATTGCACCAGGGTTTACTGAAGCAGCCAAACCCACGACCAGCCTTATGTAGTCCTTCAGACAGTACTTGGTCAACAAAGCTTTATTTCACTAGAATTCTAAAGACAAAAAGAGGAGAGAGTTTTGAGACATCAGGTCGCACAAGGTCAATCATTAAAAGTCAAGAAAATAAAACTGTAGTAACACCCCAGAACATGCGGGAAAAATAATCAAAAGACAAAGACACTCCATTTCCAAGGGACCCATCTACACCTAAAAGGCATTTAGCAGCTAGTTCCGTAAAACTAAAAGCAGAATTTGAATAGTAAGGCTAAGGTGAAAACCATCCACTCTCCATAGCTGGCAAGCGTGACTTTATAAAGCTCCTTGACAAACTTTCTAAAGGATAATTTGACGATAGGTTCCAAAGGGCTCAAGGATGTGCATTTCATTTCGCACACAGAAATCTGCTTCTAGCAATCTGTGCTCAGTTTTTATACAAAGGGGAGGTCGTGAAGGGAATTATTTGGGTGCTCAACTTGGAGGAGCTCTTTCACGCTGAAGATGAGAAGAGATTACTGCTACGGGGTGGTTGGGCCATGTCCCGGAGACACGGATCCATCAAGGAGCTCCCCATCCATCGGGGGTCCGCCCTCTCTGTTCTGCCCGTG